ATCAGTATTATATATTAAAATACTACGCTGGTGGCAAAAAAATACTGATTACGGATGATTATATAATTACACCATGGATATTATATATATCCATGAATTACACTAATGCTTCCGGTCAAACTTGAATTCATGGGCTATAGTCCAATTCTTATGATAATGTTTCAAGAGCTAACATTTCGACATCATATGCATTTTAGAATTTAAATTTAAGTTTAAAATTTTAAAATTAATATAAATATGCTTGACACTTTTTAACATCCAATTAATACTGATGTTGGCACTTATAATTATATCCATGATTGCAACCTGCAATTCCATGGCTCAATTTTAAAAATCTTTGGCGCAAAAAGTTGTCTCTTGGCGCAGGTTGTCGTAGTTTGAATTCGCAGCACTTGGAAAGGACGGGTTAAATTTTTTTTACAGCTTTTGAGTATGTAGTTTTAATTTATTTGTTTGCGAAGATTTATCAAATCTACCTATTAGCTAAAGTCGTAAATCATCCTGGGGGGTGTGATGACTTGGCCTAGCCTAGCGGCTCGTTATGTCATGATCGCCTGGTTCTGTTGTTACGTTTTACACGCAGTGACCGAGTGACCGGTGACCGGTTTCGAATACGCCTATCGCGTGTAATGTTTGTGGTTTAGTACGTTTTCACATACGTTGCTTTGTGTTGCCGATTTTTCTGAATTTTTGAAGAGTGTAAAACTGTAAAGTGTAAATAAAGTAGAGTAAATAAAAAATCTTTTTATTTATTTAAAAAAACTTGTGATGGGTAGTTAATAAACAATTACCAGCTACTAATCACTAATGTAATAGTTTACTAGACTAGGTAGTGACTTCTTGATAACAGTTGAAATATTTTCCCTAAGTTGATCAGTTAAGAAGAGTTAAGTTAACTATTTTCTAGATAGTTACTAGTTGCAAATAGTTAACTAACTTCTTTTTTAACTACTTCTTGTGAATGACAAAAATTTTCTAAGACTTATGTTTCTTAATTTAACAGTGTTTAAAACGCTGTAGATTGTTGGATGACCTTGACCATGTCAATAAAATAAATGAATAAATAAATGATCTTTTTGGAGGCTCCCTTAAAAACATATTTATTTTAGGTTTTTTAAAAGTTATTATATCAGGTGAATAAAACTTTGCAAATAATTATGTATTAGTTATTTATATCAATTTATCTCTCACTCATTTATCTCACGAATAATCATCGAATAATGTCCTGGGCATGACTGTCCTGGGCATGACATAAAACTGCATCCACGCTGCCTTGCGTGCTTTTGAGCAAAAGGCTAGGCCCACCGCTTATAACTGGTGGTTGTCGTCAGGATGGGTGTCCTGATGTAAAAACTTTTCCCCAAATTACTCTTATGCCATCACAAAGAAAAACCATGGCCTCTAGTCCCCTTAAGTGGTTAAGGGGTGCCAAGAATTCCTGGGAAGTATGCAATAGCGGAGGGATGTTGCAGAAAAATTCAGAATGGCCTCTCTATGGTACTTAGACTTGGAACGCTCAATGTTGGATCACTGACTGGCCGCAGCATGGAAATCGCAGAAATGCTCGAGCGTAGATGGATTGACATCTGCTGCCTTCAGGAAACCCGATGGAAATCGAATGGTGTCTGTCATGTCAACTAGGACAAAGAAAAATATAAACTGTTCTGGAATGGTCAAAAGACGGCCAAAAATGGTGTCAGAGAACCGTTAGCCCAAAAAGTACTGGATATTAAAAGGATTAATTCACGTCTCATGTGGATCAAGCTTCGCATAGAAAAGCAAACAATGATTATCTTTTCTGCATGCGCACCACAGACAGGCAAATCAGAAGAGATGAAAAATTACTTCTGGGCTGCATTCTCTGACACCATCTCAACAATACCAAAATCTGAAACAATCCTGATTGGAGGCGATCTCAATGGCCACGTTGGAGAGAAAACAGTTGGTTTTGACTACGTACATGGCGGTTTTGGCTATGGAAAACGGAATGAAGAGACCCAGTTATCCCGAGGTAGGAAGTTGTTTTCTTTGCTATCAATTTTTTGCGCCAAATTAGGCGATCACTTGTATCCAATTCATTTAAATTTAGAGCTTTCATGTCTTGCTCAATTGTTTGCAACCATGACTTTTTTGGACGGCCTTTGGGACACGTGCCAAGTACTTCAAAATCTGCAAGAGAAGTTATGGCACTGTTTCCACTTCGTTTGACATGACCAAACCACCTCAGCCGGTGTTGCTGGCATTCGTCCTTAATATCATCTAAACCAGCACGACGCAGAATTTCGGTAGAATTATATTTCGATAGAATTATTATAGATTTTTCGATGTCGATGGCATGGAATAAATTTTAGGGAAACATTTTACATCCGGACACCCATCCTGACGACAACCACCAGTTATAAGCGGTGGGTTTAGCCTTTTGCTCAAAAGCACGCAAGGCAGCGTGGTTGCAGTTTAATGTCATGTCCAGGACTTATTAGATTAATTTAGTTAGATATCCTATTTAGGCTAGTTTATTTATGGGAGCATGTCTCAAATTTCTGTTGAATATTAAAGCCATGAATAATATTACACTTATATATTTGATATTAAATAACAATATTTTATGAAGTTTCCTTTTTTGTTGAAATTTCTATAATAAACTGATTATGAAATTGAATAATTTTCCAATAAATCAATTCAGTCATCACATCAGCCATGTTCCACCAGTCTGCAATCTGGAATGATGTTTTTACACCCTACTCCTCTAAATCAAGAACATTGAATGAGCAATGTTCAACCACTCCCTCCGTTACCGTTGCATCTTCAACATTTACTTGTTAGTCATTATCTATTTGTAATTGATGCTTGCTGTTTTAAACTTTGGAAATAGTTTTAGAAATAGATGTTTTAATTTTTGTTAAGTTTGCTTGATTGATATTATATGTAAAAAAATCCTTCTTCACAACTGAACAGTTGTTCATTGTGAAGAAGGATTGACCATTACTTTTTTGACAGTTATAATTTATTAATTAAAATTTTTAATTTATAAATTAATTTATTTTTGAGTTGAGGAAAAGAAATTTTTTATACAATGAAGCAACAATAAGATCTCTAAAAAAATTAATTATAAAACGTGTTCACGTCACCAATGACATGCTGTTTTAAAGTATAAACTGTGTAGAAGGTTGACATCTATGTATATGTCATGTATGCATATTTCTGCTACGTCAAGCTACTGATTCTTCATGGAATCGTTCCATTCTGTGTAACTTCATCAAAAGTCATACTTTGGTGTCCTGTCGTTGTTCCCATCTGTTAATCTAGCTCTTTTTTAAATTATATTCTTCAAGCATTTATCTTGCTTTTTGGATTTACATGTACACTTTTTTGCCTCTTTTGCTGTTTAATTGCTTGAGCAACTCATTTCTTTATTCTCCATACAAGTTTGATGATTAATCCAAGGCTGTTCTGGAGTTGTTTTAGTTGTTTAGGTGCTGTAGCAAATCTAGGTAATTGAAAAAACTTTAAAATAAAACAAAAAGAAATAAAGGAGTCACTCGTGCATTAATTAAGAGTTGCACTCTTGTATCCCTTTAATGTTGATTTGTAATTCTTTTTTACTTTCACATGAATAAACCTGTTAAAAACATAAATAAATGCGATTGTATTGTGAAAGAAGTATCTTGTTTATCAGATAGAACTGAAAAAACCATCTGGAAGAAAAATCCCATAACGGAGTCATTTATCAACTGGGAAAAAGTACTGAACAAAAAAAGCTTTTTCCAATGTCGATGACAGAAAAAGAGTTTGCGAAGTTTAACCTCCAAATCTTTCTGATGGTCAGCTACTGTACAGGATTTGATGTTGATTGATTTTTTGCTAAAACCTTTAAGTTTGATAAATCCAGCTGCGTTACAGAGTTTTACCTTTTGTTTTTTTATTAGGTTTTGCAGTGAGTTTTATGATTTGTTGTTTTGATTCTATTTGTCTTAAACTTAATCTTTCTAAAATTGAATTAATTTGTTATAATAAATTTATTCTATTATCTTATCTAATTCTAAGGCTCTTGATGTTTCTCACAAGTTTTGTAGTCTAGGCTTTATTTTTGGATTCTAGCAAGTTTTATCTTTCCCAGATTATAGTGTTGCTAAAAGTTGTTACTTTCGTCTACGGAGAATAAAAAAAAACTTTTGCCTTTTCTTGACATTCCTACTTTTCTTGTTACTACTTTAGTTTTATCTAGAATTGATTTCTGTAACTCGCTCTACCATGGTTTTCCTGATTCCACACGCTTGATTGATTGGTTGTTATTAACCTCGCTTTCTTCTTGTTTATGTTGTTTTTTTTTGTTTTGTCATAAACACGTTATTTTTGGAAATCATTGCTGCTGTCATCCGTTGTACTGTTGCTTAATTAGCTTTCTTTAGCAATGTTCGCAAATGTAAAATGTCTTTATTTTGCTAGAAATGTGGTTTGTTTCATTGCTCAAGTCTGAAAATGATCTGCTAATATTTTCTTGAATGTGAAAACAAATTGCTGCACTTTTCAGTTTTTCCGTTTCACCATTCAGTTTATTCAGGTGGATGTTCACTAGGTCACTGTTGACTTTGGCCTATCTTAATGAAATGCACTCACTATTTAAAATAGGAAAATTGGCAGTTGATCCATCAAGCTGATTTCTACAGTTGGAAATTATCACAAACTTTTTTATTTTGAGTTTCCTCGAGTAGAAAGTTGCAATTTATCTCTTTTTGAAGTTCCAAATAACAAAATCAAATTTTTTTGCCGTTAAAGATCTCAAAGAACATAGAAATATACTTGAAAACTTTATTCTTTAAATTCGTCTCATGTCATTTTAATTGATTTAGAGCGTAATTTTTAGACCATTAACGACGCCTAACGCATTACGATTAAACATTTTGAATAAAATCTTAATTTACAATATTCGAACCATATTTTTAAACTCTAAAATGGTCATCCAAAACACACTTGTTCTAAACCATTTAATTTTTTATTAAATTATAGCTGTCATTGAAGGGAGAGGCAACGCACAAGGCGAAGTTGGTCTGGCGTGTTACGATTTGAATAATTCTACATTGGAACTTTACCAATTTTCTGATTGCCACACTTACAGCAAATTGGTCACAAAGTTGAATATACTCAATCCAGCCGAGGTTGTAGAATTTCTTTGTGTTTTAGTTTTTATGGTTCCGTTTCTTGCTATGTTGCGGATCACGTAGAACCTAAAACTAATATTAATTAAAAAGTGAAAAAAAATCAATATATGAATAATGCTTTTAATTCCCTTATAAACAATATTGTAATTGTCATTTTTATTATCGGAGCAATTTTTTCAATTTGTGACTAGGTTGCATGCAACATAGTTTAATGATAGTTAATAAAGAATTGAAGGGAGAATTAGTTGGTAGATATGTGTTTTATATCGAATTTCTTGATTCGTGCATTTCAGACAAAGAAAATAGCCAGCGTGATAAAAATTTCTTCAACTTGATTGAAAAATTTCCAACTCCGACTCCAGCCTCTGACTCAAAAAGTTTTGCAACAGTTTAACAATTTTAAATATCTATCGAATGATACAATAAAAAATAAAACAAAATTTGAAATCAGTTGATGTAAATAATAATATATAATCGTCATATAATTGTGCATTTTTGGCTGTATAGAAAATATCGTTGTTGGTTCACATTTCAAAGACGCAAATTTCTACTTGGCTATTTTCAAAACAGCGCCAAAAAGAAAAACATTGATTGAATTAACTTCGATGAAGATTTAGCAAAAATTTTATTTAGAGGAAAAATTAATGAAACTTTAAATCTAGTAAAATATAACCTGACAGTTCATAGCAGAAATGCACGGACATGACTCATGCGACATCTCCTGTGCCACTTTAAGAAAGTGGTAAAATTTTGCTAAGGTTGTATATTGCATAATTTAAGTTGGGAATTAATATATCTTAAATAACACTTCATAGTTTTATACTTGTATATATTATAAAACGAGTGCTTTCCGAGATTGTTGTTCATTGGTGATTGCAGAATTTTTACTTTCACAAGTGTACTTTTTCTTTTTCTGCATTTTTCTATACCGTGAACCAAGACGAAACACAGCTTGTTTGATTCTGTTCATACCTTATTCTTGACTGTTTCTTGAAGGATTTCATATAATTTTTTATGTCATACCACAACATTTATCCATTTCATCTTTTTAACTTTATAAAATTTTTCAATTCGACCAATATAGTTTTGCTTATATAAAACTTACAGCCATTCTTACATGCTATTTAAAGCTTGACTTCTATATTTAACAAAAAATCTCTTTGATTGTATAAGCCACGCAAGTTCCATGGTTTGATTCTATCACGAAGAAATTTTCGCAGTCACTTCTTTATCAGTTTTCCCATTCCTGTCCTCCTTTCAAGCCATTGGTTTCGTTCGTCGAAACATCTTTTACTTTTGTTGAAGTTTGAACATTTTTTTAATTTATTTTTCATCTTCCTCTGAAGGCTATTGAAAATGAAACATTCGATTTTACATTATTATGTTCTCATAAAATCCGCTGCTTCATTCTTTGTTATTCGAAGCTCTGGTTTATAATTGTTCGTCATTTAGTGTTTCAGAGTTGTTGCTGTTCTGCTAATAACTGATCATTTAAAAGATTCATAGATAGTTTCACTGATTTAAATATTCATTTTTCTTTTTTATTACAAATTTTTATTGTATAACAAAAGATTTGTGGAATTCGTAGGTAACCATATTTTACTTGAAGATTGGACATGTTTAAAAATGTTTTCAAAGTTGAAAATGACATTTTTGAATTAAAAACATATGCAATTGTATATTCACGTGTTTTGATTGTTTTTGAAGGTGATTATGTCCAACACAGTATGTGAAAAAGAAAAGCTATCCAGTTTAATTCAGCAAATTTCAATGCATTGCAGCACCCTGAAGATTGTTTCTGTTAACAGGAAATATTTCAATGATCGGAAAGGTTTTAGAATTTTCATATTCAACCTACTTCAATTGAGAAAAAATGCAAATTTCCTTTTTCATGCAGCGCATCTGTAGAATGCTTAAGTCTGCCGTTCATCTTTGTTCATTCAAATCTTTATTTTACTGGCTAAGCTGATTTTCCAATCCCGGCGTTTCCGTTTGTCTGGAATATTCCACCAGTTTTGCGGGAGCGTCTGACTATTTCAATAAACAGATCTGACCTTTTTTCTGTCTAGAAATCGCTTTTGTTTCTCAACTATACTAACGCTAAAACAGTTTCCAAAATGCTGCCTGGACACCAGTCCGCCCACTCTGAATTTAAATTTTATCGAAAGTTTTGCTCTCTCTTGGTCATACTTTCTGCAAATTATTATTACTAATGATTTTATTATTTATTTCTTTTAACAGCGATTTCAATGTCCTAAAAACTGTATCTATTCAAACTTATGCCAAAAATTCTTTTAATGGTTTTAATAATTGAATTCATTTGCAATGTTGTTTTTCAGGTCTTTTCTATATAACACAGCTGAATCATCAAGCGTCATCATTGACTGAAAATCAAATTAGTGATAGGTATCCGTTGAGTTTATCATTTAATATTTTCCTTCATTTCCTTACCATTCAGTTTATAAATAGAATTTATAAAGTTAGTTTAAAAACTGATTCTGCTGCTAGACAAAGTTTAATAACAAAATACGTTGCTAATCGTGTACTAAAAAAAATTGATTGTGCGTGATGGAAAGATTTCAATGGATTATAAATTTAAATGATGTTTTGTTCGTTATAGAGAAATTAGAAGTTTGTTATAAGGAGGTCTGACTATTCATATACACATAACAATTGTTTAAACAATCGTAGGTATTATTGCCTAGCGGCTACAAATGCCTTGTTCAAATATCTTGAATTTGTTCGGAATATCACCTTTGTTCCATCTTCAATAAAGGTTGTTTATAAGACTAATGAGCACTCAACTATGATGGGTTCGTTTCATCTTCTGTGGTGTGTTTTTGAAATTTTGATCTGTTAAATTAAAGTAGTAATTTATCAGTAATGTTGGCATCTCAATCGAATATAATTCGAATCGAATGCAGTCGGGGCCAAGTCAATTAATAACTCAAATAATAAAAGAATTATAAATTATATTAACAACTTGTAGTGGTTTTATCGTTATATTTGCGAAAATTGGACATTTATATATCTTGGAACTTGATGGTGGTTTCTCGACAAACTGATTTTATCTTTTTCAGTCTTTTGATTTTAATCGTTCTATATATCAATAAATTATTGCAATTTTAGTTGCATGTTAATTTACATTTTTGAATTTGTTGTGTGACTCCACAAGCAAGTTTTCTTGGAAATGAAATTGAAATTGAATTGAAATTATGAGAAGTTTAAAGTCGTTACAGATTGTACTTATTCTACAGTAACAATTTTATCCCGGACAGATATCACTACTACTAAAAATTTAGAGCTTATAAGAAATGCCAATGAACAGAAGTCACATTTGTCGTTGTTTAATGTTTTGAATAACGTGAAGACGCAGATGGGATCGAAGTTACTTCGTTCCAACATTCTGGAACCTTCTTGTGGTTTGCTCTCGTTTATTCATTCGTTTGTTTATTTATAAATGTAAATGTTTATATTTAAACATTTTTTGACTAACCCACGGTAAGTGCAAAGTGTAGGCATCGCCTAAAAACAATTTTCTATGTAAAAACAATCAACAAATATTTTTCAAAAAAATACACGAAATAATTGGGGGAAAATAAGATGGCCAGTAGTATATTGGACAAATGAATAACGACATTGTATTATAGATAGAAGCTTATATAGAATTTACAGCCACTCTTACATGCTATGCTTACCAGGTTGGATATTAGATGAGAAAAAGTTTTTCGGGTTCCAACTGCTTGATTCCGGCTATTTCTCAGCTCCGACTTCCAGAAATTTTTTTCAAGTTCCGCTTTACAATTTCAATAAATGCCATTATCAAATAGAAGATAGTTCAAAAAACATTCGAAATCAGTCGATGTGATTGTTTTCTCTTATAAAATTACTTCTTTTTTTACCTTGAAATGACTAGTTACGATATAAGTAATTTGTTTGCGTTTATGTGCGTGGTTGTACGCACAGACAGTGACATACGTATTTTGCTGCAACTAACTGACTACCTGATTGATCTATTTATTTATTAACCAATTGATTATTTGATTTATTGCATGATTGATTGAAGTTAACTGTACAAACTTTGTTAGACTTACAGACTATCGTCGAAAGATTAGACATGGTGGACGAACTTCTAAACAATTCAAACATGTTTTATAAAATTAGAAATGCTCTCGTGTATTTTTCTAATATCAATCATATTTTGAGCTCCATGGTTCAAAAGTCCAGTGTAGCATCATTGAAAGTGGCTGAAAGTAAACTGACAACGTTGATAAACTTGAAAAATGCATTGGAAGCTGTCGAGTTATTGAAAGATGCTTTTGAAGACAGTGTGTCCTTGCTATTCCAAACTTTCCACCGCGTAATACTTTACATTTATTCCAACGTGTTTTTCCATGGCATAATTTATGTTTCCTAAATTTAGTTGCTGAGCCATCGTTGTTATACAGATATGTTAGAAGCCATTTCATCAGTAGTTGAAGATAATACACATCTGACGAAAAATTTATTTGCAACGAAGGTGCAGAAAGGTTATGCTATTAAAGTAAAGCCAACTGTATTATTGTTCACTTAAATTTGAAATTCTATCCAATTTATTATATTTTTTGTTCACAACAGGCAGAAGCTAACGGTTAGTTTTCGTGCTTTTGTCACGTTTGCTTCATCGCTATGTTGTGCTATGAAGGTTTTTCATTCAATTGTTTTTTATTTACCAAAATGATCTTACAAATGTGTTGAATGATTGTTCTGGAGGTTGGGAAATAATCTTATGAGTTACCACTTTTAGGTTATGGTTAATAGTTTTTTTTGGTAAAGGCATATTTTATTTAACTCAATCAATGAGGTATAAACATTATTAAGTTTTATATTTATTTTTATATATTTCGATTAATTTTCTTATCATCAAAACTTGATAAGTTGAGTAAATATCCAACGTTCAACTGTTGTTGATTTTGGGATATTCACTCGTTAGACGATCAACTTGTCATCCATAATCAAGTTGTTCAGAGCTAACTTCTTAATGTTTATATTGGTTAGACGACTCGTCTCATAAATCGAAATTAATTTTTCCACAGATATAAATGTCATATTAAAATGAAAATTTAATGCAATAGTGGTGACTGTTCAATAAACAATTGGGTCAAAGAAGCATCTTAAGAAATATTGTATTAAAATAAACTGCATATATCTAAACTTATGATAGGTTTCGCCGAGAAAATACTTTTCTGTAGTTGTAACACACGCTAATGGTCTTTAAAATTGTTAGCTGATAATCGATACTAATTAAATTGAAAACTGTTCGATCTTAACATAGTAAATGACCATGATATAAGTCTTGCAGGGATAAATAAACCGAACTATAAGTTAAAAATGCTGTGATTTTTTATGATTATATACATAAACAAATATTTATAATATATATATATATATTATATATATATATATATACATTAATATTTAGTTCAATATAATAACATTAATATTTATATATATAAGCTAACAATTAAATTTTATGATTTCAATTATGAATTACAACTTTCTAAACGACTAATGCATTAAAAACGTTCACACTTTAAGGTTTACTTGACATTTCAAGAAGGACTTATTCTGAAGCCATTGAAGACATAAATCGTTCGTTCGTTGTACTTGTATTTTTATGTTGATTATTCAAATTTTCTAAACTTAAGATTTTAATGTAATCTATGGTCATAATCGTCAAGCTCCCTTTTTGTTTTTTTTTACAACAGGAGGAACATTGAACTTTTTCAAAATAGTCAATTTGTAAGACAACAGTTGTTATGAAAATATTAAGTTTTGAAAATAATGATTTTTCAGTTGTATTTGTGGAATGTTGGATGACTGTTCTGATGAGGAAGAAAAACTCGTAGTGAAAAGTTGGAGGACCTGCTAAGGAATGGACGGGTGACAACAGAATAGACTTGAGTGAAAACGTTGGCTTCAGCAAAATTGCACAAAGATAAAAAAGTAGGTTGACAATTTTTAAGGAAGGTGGACACCGCCGGACTGTTTCTTGAAGGATTAAAGTGAATTGTAACGATTCATTAATTTCGAATAGTTCTAAAAAAAAACATTTTAATTTTCGAGGACAACATTTTCAATTTGCATTATAATCTTCAATGACTAGTGACCTAATAGTATATTCATTGCCTAGAGTTGTCCGAGAATTGTTTCAGTACAAGTCCTTCTGCAATTTCACCGCCTAATTTATTTGCCTGCTGAGTCATGCCGTTATATAATTATAGTGCTTAAAGTTTGTTTATAGTGCGACGGGGTATTAGTTTTTATGATAGGCATTTTTTTAGTGCAGTTCCGGCGTTAATGGGCGATCAGCTAGAGGACAGCAGTTGTTAGTCAGTCATGCAGACTAGCCTGCCTTGAAATTCACGGCGCTAGTGCGATAAACGGTTCGGGCTAAAGTTTTGGTTGACTGAAGTGGCTGGCTGCTCTTTGGTTGAAAAATAAGTGAAGTGTTGAAACTATGGAGGGAGGCCGAATGCTTTATTATAGAACGCAATAAGAACTTTTGGCATTATCAATATTTCTGTCAGCTGAATGTAAAAAATTAGTTTAATCCATTTTAAAATATCCGCCGTTTTATAATTTCTTTTAAACTGCCGGTACTTTTGTTAGTGGCTAATGGAAAGCATTTTATTAACAGCTTAAAATCAGTATTAATCGACCGATTAATCATTAATTTCCACAACTTTCTGTAAAAAATTGTATATGGTGACTTAAATAGTTGAGTTGAGTGTATTTTTTTACGAATTTGTTCATGGCACTTTAATTTCATTTAATGTTTCATACTCTTACTTTTACAACAACTTCAGTTATTAAAAATGTACACACAGAGTTAGTTGTTGAACTGCGAGAGAAATACCATCTACCAATAAAGTCTAATTACAGTCTTCATAAAGGGTTTTATTTGAAAATACCAGTTAAGAATATGTCTGCCTGTAGTCTACCAAATGAATTTTTAAAAATTATGAAGTTCAAGGGATCGTTTATTTTTACGACGGATCAATTGGTAGGCAGAGATTTTCACATTGTTGTATTTATCCTGTGCACTTTTAATAATTTTTTTTATAACAGTTGATCTTCAACGGTAAGATTGTTCACAAGAGTTCAAGTTTTTTATTGGATTTCTCGCTTAATTATTTAAAAAACTAATCTTCATCGCATTGCAGATAGAGTAAAAAATTCACTAAATGAAATCTACATCATATCTGGAAGGTTGTGCTAGTAAATAATTAACTCCATTTATATAACATTTGATTATTTATTATAACTCTATCATTTAACTTTCATTACAATAATTTATTTTATTACGGATGCTTCAACACATAGTTCTTATTTAAAATTAACACTTCTAGCAATAAATCTTTAACAGTTCTTAAGTTGAATCTAGTTTTGTTTTGACTATATTGATCTAAATAAATGAATTGTTATTTATTCCAAATGTATTATGTTTTTGCCAGAATCGCCGACAATGTATTGGCCGAAGTGATGAAGAACATCTCTGGCTTGTACCAGCTGGCCGAATGTGTCGGCATAGTAGATGTGGTAGCTTCTTTTGCTTTCAATGCAATAAGATCCGACCACAGTTATGGTTAAGTTATATCATATAAATTTTTTCGCTGAAACCGTCAAAATGAATGCTTACTTGTATTTTGCCTGTAGTCAGACCGGTTTTTACGGATACCTTGGCAGTCAAAAACAGCCGTCATCCCATACTTGAAAGAATGCCGCACTGTCACGTTATCAGCAATTCAATTGTAATTATTTTTTATTTTAAAAACAACGGATAACTAACTAATTTTTGAAAACTCAAATTCTTTAAAGTATGCTTCGGAAGCAAATAACTTTGTTATCATATCTGGACCAAACATGGTAAAACTTGATTCATTTATTTCTTTATGCTGTAATATTGAATTAATTTCGTTTTATGTTGTAATATTGAATTTATTCAAAAAATGATCTTTAGCATCACATGAAAGGCTAAATAATCTTGCATTAATAATATAAATTAAGATCGTTGTTGGGGACATTAAAGCCGGTACAAAGTATATAGGGGTTCCAGAACAATTAAAAGAAATGTGTGGCAGTGGCACAGGAAGGTCGGTAAAAAAGATCTTTGGGTCCGGCGAATGATGAAGTACAGAAAATGTGAATGATTGTTTAGTGCTTGGTAATTTTGGGACTAGAAACTAAAAATAAAATATGCGAAAGCTTTGCCTAGTTTTAGCAATGCAGATTTAATGGACGATTTATTAGTATAACTTTTACCATAATAACGCTCCCTTCTGTTTAGTGCAAAACCTTGTCGCTTAGTTCTGTGTTCTCTCAACATTAAGATATTCAAAGCTACATGGAAGTAAAACAGCCATCTTAACGAGTGTTTAGGAGTCCAAAAACTCAATACATTCAAACGCGAACTAATTTAGGAAATAAGGTTTAAATTGTCTCAAAGTCTCTATAACCCTCAAGGAAAACATTCTTTTTGCGAGGACCAAAACACAAACACCGGAAGTCAATGAGAGCAGCTGGTTGATGAGTTTTTCACGTGTGGCGGCAATTTATAGAACGCAAGCAACGTTATTATTCAGAAATTCTGTTTAGAATAGTAGCGCTTAATTTATTTAGATAGCATCCTCTCGAATTAATTTTCAGCCACAAATTTTTTTTTTCATTTTTTTCCAACTACTTATATTAAAACATTAAAAAAATAACGGCATTTGCAAAAAAGACTGGTGATGAGAATTTTTCATGAATTATCATATTGAAAATAGTTTATCTAAAACGATATAATTTCAGCAGCTCTTACTACATTGTTATAAATAAAGAGACTGTGAGCCGACAGCAGCAAATATTTTTTTTGTAACGCATTTAACCCTTCACACAAATTATGTTTGGATGTTTCACACGATATATTGCAGGCCTATATCGTTGTTCTTTCGCCTTTGTAGCTCTGCCTTTAGCTAAATCAAATGTCATGGCCCGCTAATTATGAAATACTCGTCCGATTATATCTATGAATCTCTACAATAAAAATTTAATTAAATATTTAAAAAATCCATTCTTTCAAGAGTGGCAAGTCGACGTATTTGAGTCAGATAGCAATTTTGCAAATAATGGCACAAATCGGCTCCTATGTCCCGGCCGAAACAGCTTCGTTTAAACTTTGCAAGCAAATATTTTCGAGGATTGGTTACAATAATTACATCGGAACCAATTCTTCAATGTTGTTCAACGAAGTAGGTGATTACCATTTTCATCAAATTATTGATTTAAAAAACGTTTCCCGTTTTCGAAAAGATGAAAGAGATGAATTACGTCGTTCAGAATGTCAACAAATGTTCTATGATCATTATCGATGAATTGTGCAAAGGTTAAGCCTTTTTGATAGTTTTTTGAAATTAATGCACAGGTTATATTACTGTCCTTTAAAAATTTATAATTTTCAGTAGCCATGTAACAGTTACGGTTTTTTATTAATTATGATTGTTCCACTTTTTTTCGTTGAAGCCAGAGAGTAGTGCATGGGAATTGGATAACAAAGTTGTATCATTATGATTCAAATTGTTGACTAATTTCTGTGACTGGTCTTTTATTTTTTCACGCATTTTCACACCTTTGGTTCATTATATTGAAGCCTGCTTGCTGTTTGAGGCCGAAATGATGATGTAGGCTGCATTACACAGAAACGTTTCTCCTGCCTGTTGTGGTGTGAAGGACAAACGAACGTGTGTAAAATGAGTTACAATCAATTTCGTCAAAGCATTTACTCATTTTATCATCACCATGATTTTTTTGAGATTAAAACCAACTTGCCCCCACCTATTAAAATCTAAGAGTGATTTTTATTTGATGCTGAAATAAGTCGTTAGTTCATTTTCCATTTCAGCATTCAGATTCTTAAAATTTTTCACTTTAATTTGCTTTAATCATCTTTTTTTATTACATTTATCTTCAGTTTGTGTTTGTTGCTTTCTTCGTTGTGTTCCCTAACCTTTGAGAAGCATTCCTTATGCGATGTGCCGTTTGTGCTATCATTTGGTTCGATTATTGAAAACAGTTGCTGTCGGTTAAAATAAAATTTATTGTAATGTTGGTAAGAACCCTGGACATAACGCTTACGCTGTTGTTAATACGGCTTAACCTGCTCGAGATATTTTGTTTTTTATTTCATTTGCAAACTTTTTAAAATTTTATTTCGTCCGAGTACAGGTACTTAGCAAAACCAGAGTGCTTCTCGGATTGAATGCACTCACTTAAGCAAGTGAGAAAACAAAATGTTCTTATTTGACCTAATTGAAACTTCCCTACATTTTAAAATGTATAAAAGGTTGCTTTACATTTTAATTTTTGTCTGGCCGAAATACAACAGTTGTTATTTTTTGCAAGCTTCTTGTAATGCTTTTTATATAGAAGGGTAACTACACAGTTGCACAGCCTTACATCTCATGTTTTCCAAATAGTTATTATAACTACTCTATATTTTCTAATAATTTTTTCACAATACGATTGTTATTTGACCAACCAAAGATAAAAATTATTTATTTTTTTAAGTCCATTTAAAATTTTTCAGAATGTTTTATTAAATAGTTTTAAAATAATTTTACGAAACTTAAAAAATATTTCCAGGTACTAGTCTCGATGAGGGGGTGGCCTTATTTCTTGCTTTCTGTGAACATATTAAAAATTTTCAATCCTTTTGTTTCATTGCGACTCATCATGAAAATGTAATCCAACTGGAAGATTATCATTCAAATTTTGAAAAGTAATACGATTTTACATCTTTCTACATGGTCCACAATGAAATATTAATATTTATGCTAATGTTTTAAAAAATGTACAACGAATTAGTCTGAAGGACCACATCAAATCTACCGAGATTCTGCGTCATGCTGGTTTAGATGATATAAAGGACGAATGCCGGCAACACCGTCTGAGGTGGTTTGGTCATGTCAAACGAAGTAGAAGCAGTACTGTAATTTTTCTTGCAGACGTTGAAGTACCTGGCACACGTCCCAAAGGCCATCCAAAGAAGTCCTGGTCGCAAACAATCGAGCAAGACATGAAAGTCAATCAATCAATCCGTTTAGTGTCCAGAGACCCAGTTCTCCGAGGTAGGACGTTGTTTTCTTTGCTATCAACTTTTTGAGCCAAATTAGACGACCAGTAGTATCCATTTCATTTAAATTTAGAGCTTTCATGTCTACCTCGATTGTTTGCGACCAGGACTTTTGGGACGTGTGCCAGGTACTTCAACATCTACAAGAAAAGTTACGGCACTGTTTCCACTTCGTTTGACATGACCAAACCACCGCAGACGGTGTTGCCGGCATTCGTCCTATATATCATCTAAGCCAGCACGACGCAGGATTTTGGTAGACTTGATGTGGTCCTTCAGACTAATTCGTTGCATCCATCGGAGCATTTTCATGTCGGTTAGTTGAAGTTGTTGACAAGACATGAAAGACATGAAACTCTAAATTTAAACGAAATGGATACAACTGATCGCCTAATTTGGCGCATAAAAATTGATGGCAAAGAAAACAACGTCCTACCTCGGGAAAACTGGGTCTCTGGACGCTAAACGAAGATTGATTGATTTGATTGATCTAAAGTTTCAACAAATTTAAACTTTTAAATCACAATTTTGTTGAACCTCGACTACTTGAGTCATCAGGTCATTTATAGGTTCAACTATGTAGCAGCATATTTTATCAATGAAGCATATAGACAAATTAGAATGTAAATAAGGAAGGATTTGATACGGGACAGTTAAAAATTATGAATTGGAATTCTGTTTGTTCTCACAACTGACGATAGAGCTAAATAATCTTGGAATAATTTCTAAATATTTTCAATATCATTCCCAAATAATCGTTAAAGTATAATTTGAATTACAATGTTTGTAGGTGTGTGTGTATGTATGTATGTATGTATGTATGTATGTATGTATGTATGTATGTATGTATGTATGTATGTATGTATGTATGTATATATGTATGTATGTATGTATGTATATATGTATGTATGAATGTATGTTATGCATGTATGTATGTTAAAACCAAAACATGATGAGTGACACTGAACCGTCAAATATCAAGTAACAAATGGATTAACACTTTGATTTGTCGTTAATTGCACATGTCGGCATTCAGTTGGATATTTTCAAGCACACAGACACGCAGGAACCGCTGCAACAAGCACGAAATGTGGTTAGTTGCGAAAAACAGTTCCCTGCTGTCGCCTGATCTGACGCTGATCATTTTTCATATTGCCTTAAGAAATTTAAGGGTGTTGGGGTCTATCGGGCCGAGAACCTCGATACATATTGGCAAGAATTCCATCTAGGGGAGGGCGTTCCCATATTTTTTCATTTTCTCGTCCGCTGCCCTGGCCGCGGCCAAACCGCATTCTTTACTTGTCAGGTTTACATATCGTTCGGCAAGGGTGCCAGGGACCGTAACATCCCACGCCAAACATCTACCGGCTCTCCAAGGTATTAGTGTGCATCCGTCCGGGCGCCTACCATCATGCGCAGAAATGCCGGATGGTTCCTTGAGAACTGTATGTATGTATGTATGTATGTATGTATGTATGTATGTATGTATGTATGTATGTATGTATGTATGTATGTATGTATGAACCCATAATTGATTAGAACTATAAGGAAGTAATAATCATATCCGGGTTCAGCTTCAATCTATGTTAAACGCTTCGCACAGACAGGTATTTTAACGCTCCATCCAAAATACAGAAAGAATTATATTTTTGAAGTAAAATAGAGAAAGATTGCTTTACATAACTCTTATCTAATGGGTCACCCGATACTTCTACAATCCTGCTACAGAGTTCATTCAGAAAACTCTGAGTCTGAAAATCGGTTGGACCAAAGGTCTCAATACAGACTGGCTGAAAAATTTTGCTATCTGCAAGAGCCGCATATTTTGAATTTTTAAAGTCTGCGGCTCTTAAGGCAGCGGTACCCGCCTCCTGTGAGGTAAGATTAGTGTACCTTTCAACCATTGTATGGGGGAACGTAACATCCCATGCAAGGGAACGTCCCTGCGCCCATGGTGAAATAGTATACCCATCGGGCCTGAGGCTACCTTCCTCCATGAGACCCGTGAGTTCTTTAATTGTGGGTATGTTTGCCCTCTGAAAGCACCTGAAATGTATTTATGTATGTATGTGTATGTATGTATGCATGTATGAACCCGTTTTAATGAACAAGCCATGGTTAGGCATGCAATCGTTTCCGAGTTCAACTTTTATCTATGTCCCTGGTCTCGCACAGTCAGGTATCTAGCAGCTCCATCCAGAATGCAAAAGGAATTAAATTTTTGTAATAAAAGTGAAAGTGTTTGTTTTAAATAATTACCTTCATTAGGGTCACCTGTTATATTAATTATTTTTCCTATTAATTCTTTAATAAATAATGTTGTGTGCTTATCTGTTGGTCCGAATGTTTCGATGCAAATGGGTTGAAATATTTTGCTTGAATTGTTTAATGAAACATATTTTTCATGTTTAAAATAGGACGCAACACCCGTGACCCCAAAACTGAGGCGGATTCGTTTCAACAGTATCTTATAGTCGACGCTGTCAAAAGCCGCGCTCATATCTAGGAACGCTAGCAATGAAATATCCTGTGCATCCACAGCCTTGCATAACACCGACGATATTTGCAGCTGAGCAGTTTCCGTTGAGTGGAACTGTCTGTAGCCTAATTGATGAGCCGACAACAAGTTGTTACGCGCCAGAGCGACGATACGTTCGATGACCTTTAAAATAAACGAAAGATTGGTTATTCGTCTATAATTATTCAAATCGCTCACATCCAGATCTGTTTTTTATTTAAGAGTAGGTACGACTATGCCGTGTTTGGCCATTTTAGGGAATTTTCCTGTACCTAGACATAAGTTAATAAGTTTTGTTAAAAATCTGGAAAAGAGGCGTATATGCTTTTTAAAAAAATGTGTTGGGTGACTGTCCAAGATACACGTTTTTGTGGGAGATTCGCGTATTACCTTCACAACATCATCTTCAGTACATAATGCGAATGACGAAAATTCTTCACCATCCTTGGTTTGCCTTCTTGGAAATAATGGACCAACATTACCTGTTGTAGCTTGTCGAACCCTGTTCATTTTATCTCTAAAGAATTGAGAAAAATCATCACTTGTAAATTTTCTGTTATCATCATCGCAACTGTTGTGAGAGTTTTTGCATAGCATTTTGTTAACGTCATTCCACAATCGCTTTGGATTTCTTTTATTTTTGCCCAAACGAGTTTGCCAGAACACTTTTTTTCAGTAAAAACACGGTTTTTCATCTTGATAGCATTGACTCATTCTTGTCTGCTACTATTTAATGAAGTTCTCCTGTAACATTTTTCCAATTTTCGAAACTTCCTTTTCAGGTGCTTGCATTCTTAATCAAACCATGGGACATTCAAATCACATCGACTCTCAACCATATGCAATGGTGCAACTTTATTAACAATATTACAGACTGTGCTATTGAACAGTTCAAGCATATCATCAATATCCATGCCATCACAGGGTGTGCTTATCGGGGAATCGTGAACAAGCCTAATGAATTCATCATCCCTCACTCGCTTCCACGACCGAACCATCTTTATAATTCGTACTGGTTTTTTAAACTTGAAAAGCAAACAAACTTCAACTAGACCATGATCGGAATAAATTCCACTTGGAAATACTTGTATTTCAGAGGTAAGAATATCACAAGGAATGGCAATCAGGTCTAATACGCCACCTAGTTCGTGAGTCGGTTCATTAATAACATTTCTAATATGAAATAAATCGATAATTTCAAACAGAGTTAACGTGTGCGGGCTGTCATGTCTATCAACACGGACATTAAAATCACCTGCAACAACTAAATTGAAAGTTAATATTGTCATACTCTCCAAAACAGATGACAGTTCCTTAAAAAACATAGGAGTGACAGGCAATGACCCAGGTCTATAGATGGCCAGGAATAAGTAGTCGTTCCGATTGCATATATTTTTTAATGCGATGGCTTCAAAAGTATTTAATTGTGGTAGTTCCAGTCTTTTAAATTTAAGAATAGACCTAAAGTAAATTATTAATCCTCCATGATTAGCATCATATGGTCTAAGGTAATCAACATAACTGTACTCTGCAGGTTTGGCAGATAAAACAGATATTTCGTCGTGAGATCTATGCCAGGTTTCAGTTAAAATAAGAACATAAATTTTATCTCTAATTAATTCATTCACATCATCAGATTTTTTTATAATTGACCTTATATTCAACAAACCTTTTTTCGTCTTTTCGATCGAAGTCTTTGATTTTTCTGCCGCTCGTCTTTCTTTCTAAATCATTTATACTTTCATCACCATTTTTTTCTGAAATTAAATGTAAATCAATTTTTTCGTTGGTTGAAATCTGACAATTTTCCGTCTTCCGACAGGCCCCATCACTGTATAAAAAAAACCACCTTTGTCCGAGTTTTCCTTTGCCTCGTCTGTCAGGGTTTTGATTTCCTTTCGCTGTTCAATCGTTAAATCATGATTCAACCCCCACACGACGAAGAATAGCATCTAACGATTTTATTTTGAATAAATTTTTCACAATGGTGTTTTTTATTTTAATATCCTCAAAACATATCAGTAGCGGTCGGGCCACACCGTCACTTTTTTCCCTAGTCTTGCCAGCCTCGTTATGTCTGTATCAACAACCTCATCTGACAGATGTTTTAAGATTTTATCACTGCTATTTTATCATTACTTGTAGTCTCCTCAGTTAGTCGAAACATTATTAAATTGCTTTCTCTCGTCTTCAAGTCGCTGGCATCACTCAATGTTTTTTGAACAGTTTTAACCCCGCTTCCAATGACTTCGACATTCTTTTTAACGTCACGACTCACAATGCTCGCGAACGACATATTCATTTCAGTTTTTAGATTGTTTAATTCACCTCGTAGGAATGTCAGGTTGATTGAATTGGTTCAACTTCTCTTCACTGGCGCTTACCGATGAATTGATGTTTTCAATTGCAGATTTTATTTTCCGATTTAGTTCATTCAGTTCGTTGAATTTTGTTGTCACTCCATTTTTATATGGCTCGACAGAGTCAGTTAATTTCTTCAAACTCGGTCCCAAGCTTGAACACTTATCGCAAAACCAAC